ATGGTTCCAAGCCATCTCAACCTCAACCATACTAATCATTTCACAGGGGTTCATCATGATTCAAATGTAGAACATATATGAACACATCTCCCACCAATCAACGGCAGAATATCTCATAGTTCCAACCCATCGTGGCCGGCTTGTTCTTCCGCGGCTGGGTTTTCAGTGCCACTTGTGGCCGCAGCAGGGCACGAATCTCGGCACCAGGGCGAGCAGGAAACCGAAAGCCAACGCAGATCTTCTGAATTTGCAGTATGATCACATGGTTAATCCTCTGGTAAACTAACATAGCTACTGAACATGGCCCATTTATAGTGGATTTTCCCATAAAAAAATTGTGATTTTCCATAGTTATGTTAGTTTACCAGAGGGTAATCCTCATTTTCCACAATTCATCGCCATCAACTGCAGAATCTGCCACCGAGAAACATCTCCTTGATTTTTGAATGTGGCGCACCAGACATCATGGTGTACTAAGCTTTGTATGTAGATCTCTACAGTATGATACCTTCATCATCCCTCTTCATGGTTCATGCTTCCAATAGAGATCTGGAATCTTGACATATCTTGACTACGTTTTCAGCAAACTTTTCAGGTCTCCCCAATTCCCGTTCCTGCTGCTTTCGGGGTAGCGGACCCCGAAGTTCCGACATCCGGTCGACCGGTGAACAGAACTTCTCGTCAGGTGCGACTGGGCAAGCATCTCAGAAAGCAACTGAGTAGATCTGAGTAGTCACAGAAAAACCGGCAAATCATTGATGTTGGCCAACATTTCGCCGTTTGCCAGAGGATTGCACTTAGATCGAAAATTGAGTCTGAATCAAATATGTCAGGGAACTGAGACAATTTCATCTTACTACCCTCTGGTAAACTAACATATATATAATATATATATATATGTATGTATGTATATATATATGGAAAATCATCATTTTTAATAAGTAAATCAAATCAACCTATTTCTATGGGCCATTTTCAATAGCTATGTAAATCATTACCAGATCTAACCAGTTTGCTCCCCAGGACGGTCACCCATCACCAAAATGAAACCCTCGGAGAGTTCTGATATCGCGACGCGTCGCGCGATTGCCCGGCTCCGTTGGGAAGCGGAAAGGAGATGACACCGGCTGAGAAATATCTCACATATCCATTTGGATCTTAAAGAAATATCCCAAATATACTATATAAATGAATTGAGGGGCTTCCTTAAAGATCTCAAAGTAGGGCTAGCCCCTCTTCAGCATCTGGGAAACACCTCAATTCATCTCAATTCCATATATAATGATTGTAGGACGCCAGATATTTCCGTCCAGGGCGAAAGATCAAAGTAGCAAAGTACCCAACTACGGTTGTATTTCCAGGATATGAGCATGGGTTGGATTTACCAATAGAAAATGAGGAACATGCAATAAAGCATTAAAAAACAGCAGTTCATTCATGTTGCAGCAAAAGACCGGGATACAGGGGAAGGGTTAACCAATGCAAATAGGATCTGGGTCAAGATTTTGTGCTCCAAAATAGAATGGTTCGAGATGGTTCGAGATTCTGTGTAATTCAAAGACCCAACTGTTGTTGAACCATGTTGAACCATACTTATAGTGTCACATATCGCCAACATAAACAGAAACAGGTCATTTTCGAAACATCCTCCGCCTGTCCAATTCATTCGTTGCTGATCCTTGTGAATATTAATCCAAGATTCAGAAACCCTAGATTCATGAATATGTCGGAAGACTCTTTCATACTCTTTCTATACATAATACTAATTCATCACTTTCGGGCAGTCTCCCAATCTTGCGTTGCTCATTACCCTCTGGAAATCAAGCAGGCAACAGCGGCTTCTAGTTTTCAGAACAAAACGCATGAAGCACAATCTACCAACGTTGTTTTTTAATTGCCACGTTGGATTACTATACATAGAGTGTGTAAAGGAGTAAAATCCAACTTGATTGTGATTGAATCACCATTGTTTCAAGCCAAATGCAACATTTGCATGCTGAAATCGCAATTTGTGATGCTCCGATCAATTTGAACCCATCTGGTGGCTTGCTAAAATGGGGGTACCCCTAAATCATCCATTATAGATTTAGATTTTCCATCAACCATCCAGCTATTGGGATAGCACCATGACTATTGAAAACCCGAAATCCATCTCTGCAGCCTGTGCGAACCGCAGGGCCTCCGAACGGTTGTGATCAAAAGCCGCGGCCCAAGGAGACGGCATAGTTCATGGAGAATTCATCAATGGATGTACATATATATATATATGTATACATATATGTGTATATATATACAGATATATATATATATACAGATATATATATATACATATAGATATATATACATATATACATATACATATACATATATATATACATACATATATAAATATATATATATACATTTACATATATATACACATATACATATATATATACATATACATATATATATATACATATACATATACATATACATATATATACATATACATATATATGTATACATATATATAGACATATATATATATATATAAATGTTGTGTGACCGTGTAATCATATGTATATTCTATACATAGTGGATGTTCACTAATATTAAGTGACGGCCCAGAATTCATTAATGAATGGATCTGAAATAATCAGTCAGGATACATGGGAATAAGTCACTAAGCTTATGAAAAACTTGCAGCCACAGACTGGGCCAGGTCAAAATATTGGTTATCATTGCATTCATCATTTTTTTTATCATTTATTTTATCATCTTCATTTTTTAAACATTTTTTATCATTTTTTTAAATCATTTTTTTTCATTTTTTTTTATCATTTTTTTTAATCATTTTTTTATCATTTTTTTAATCATTTTTTTATCATTTTTCATCATTTTTGCTTCCAGTGGTGCAAAAATTTTCCAAGAAATGGAAAATTACAATTTTCCTCGAGTTTTTTTCATTTTTTATCATTTTTTTTCATTTTTTTCATCATTTTTCATCATTTTTTTATCATTTTGCATCAATTCCACCACTGGAAGCAAAAATGATAAAAAAAAATGATAAAAACATGAAAAAACATGAAAAAAAAATGAAAAAAAATGAAAAAAACTCGAGGAAAATTGCAATTTTTCATTTTTTGGAAAATTGCAATTTTCCTCGAGTTTTTTTTTCATTTTTTTTTCATTTTTTTTATCATTTTTCATCATTTTTCATCAATTCCACCACTGGAAGCAACAATGATAAAAAAATGATAAAAAAAATGAAAAAACTCGAGGAAAATTGTAATTTTCCATTTCTTGGAAAATTTTTGCACCACTGGAAGCAAACATGATGAAGAATGATAAAAAAATGATAAAAAAATGAAAACAAATGAAAACAAAATGAAAAAAAAATGAAAAAAACTCGAGGAAAATTGCAATTTTTCATTTTTTGGAAAATTGCAATTTTCCTCGAGTTTTTTTTCATTTTTTTATCATTTTTTTTTCATTTTTTTATCATTTTTTTAAATCATTTTTCATCATTTTTTATCATTTTTCATCAATTCCACCACTGGAAGCAAAAATGATAAAAAATGATTAAAAAATGATTAAAAAATGAAAAACACTCGAGGAAAATTGTAATTTTCCATTTCTTGGAAAATTTTTGCACCACTGGAAGAAAAAATGATAAACAAAATGCTAAAAAATGAAAAAAATGATAAAAAAATGATAAAAAATCATAAAAAAATGATAAAAAAATGAAGATGATAAAATAAATGATAAACAAAATGATGAATGCAATGATAACCAAAATGATAAAAAAATGAAAAAATAAATATTTTAAAGATTTCCAATGTGTAGCTGGCTCGGTTCTTCATAACACTAAGCTAATGGAACTAAGGCCATTTTAGGATAGTTGCCCCTGCTAACCATCACTTCCAGGAATGTTGCAGTGAGGTCGTTGTAATTTATCCACATGGATACATAATGATATGTCTATATGTACATATACACACGAGATTTTTGTATCCATTTGTGGCAGAAAAACAAAAGGTATGAAACTACCCATCCACGGTTTCAGACTTGAATTGTGGTCACACAAGATACGACATGTCCAAAACACGTATATAACACTAACTACAGTGGCATGAACCCAGCCTTTCAGGCAATTTGAAGGAAATATCCAGAGGCATTCATCCAAATTTTGACCCATGACCAAATTTCCTTTGCAGGTTTCGTCTCTCGATTTTGAGGGTCCAAAACTGTCAGCGACGAGTTGTTGATAGTTTTTGTGTGTCATGTTTTGGTCCAACATTGCGTGCTATATCATTCAATCATATCCAATCCATCTCCCTGCGTGGCGCGCAAGCGCCGCTCCAGGGCGCTTACTTTCTTGCAATCGGAACCACTGCCCCATTGAGCAGTAGGTTCACCGAATTGGCGGGGTCAATTGCCCCTCGCTCCAATCCTTAGGTGCCCTCGGGCTTGAAAAGGCAGATTCGGTGCCAATGATTGGCAATGCCTACAAAAAACAGGTCCCAAGCCCAAGTTCACACGAATCAGAGCTTTGAATTAGAAACCTTTTTCAGAGTTTCATCAAAAATGCAGACCTAAGTACCATGTTGCAATTGGTTCCAGTCTTTCTGCGCGTTTTCTTCGTCCGCGTTCTACTGTGTCTTTTACTGGGGCCGCCAAGAGCCATGCTCCACTTGAACAGTTTCAGTTGATTTCACACTGGTACACTAAAGTCCACAAAAGTCTACTCATGTCCTTAATCAAGTGGAATTATATTGTCCTTTTCAAGAAAGGGGTGAACAAAGGAAATGAAAACACAAGTTGGAACTTCCGTCTCGATGTGTCAATAAAAATGAGTGACACCAAATTCTGCTTTCGTGGCCAATTGGGGAGCAACTCATCCATTTTCTTGACCCCATGTCAATCCAAACGTCATTCGGAAAGCAGCTAAATACAACTTCCATTGTCATTCTTGGTTCACAATTTCCCCAAACCATCACTGGATAATCTAGCATCACCCCACATTTCCCAAACTATTTCCGGATAGCTCGGGCGGTCCCTAATTGGCTCGAACCACACTCACTGAATGGAGTCCCGATGCTCCTGACGCCTGAGGATCATGCCAAGATATACAGTAATATATATATATGTACGGTGTAATCTATCTATAATTATGAATATATATATAAATACATATATATATATATATACATATCACACAGATTTAATATACTGCATATACAAACGATGTATGTATGTATATATATATATACTGTATACCATGTTAGAATCCACCAAGCCCTGGGGTCTTCCTAGACCCGACACGCCAAGACTTCTTTTGGTTCCACCTGAGCCATAAGTGTCTATTGGACGGTCGAAGGTGCCTGAGATTGGACAGTTGGATGGGTGCTGCTTTCAAACTCCCATTGTTTTAGAAAGCTCCTAGAGACGCCCCTCTGGAGCAATGGTAGCGGAGCACTTGCCATCTCATGTGAAAACTGTCCTGTAAATCACTTGAAATTGCGCACAAGGTTGGTGCCTGGAAAGGTGGCGCCGGAAACCTTGGTCATGCCATGCTTCTCCACATACTTGATGCTCTTCAGATACTTTGCCAGATCCTCCACACGAGCGCCCTTCTTGCTTTCATGACTGATCACCCACATCAGATAGTCATGGTGGGTTGGATCTTCGGCCAACTCCAAGTAGCTCTTTTTCAGGGCGGCCACTGCCGGGAATTCACACATCGTGCGCCCCCACTCATCGATGCTGGAGACACCTGGAGGGAGAACCACCTTGGTCTCACCTGGATGATTCATCACCGGCATCTGGTCGGACGGTGGTTGCTGCGCCATCGGAGTCATGCTGGTCGGCAAAGCCCATGAGCTGCCGTCATACTCCGAATCTGTCCAGGCCTCATCCTCGGTCTCATGCAAGCGTTTGGAGGCGTCGGTCATCGAACCGAGGCCAAGACCATTCCCAGATCCAGCTGCATCTGCATTCTGAACTCCAAATTGGACATGGTGGCACCTACGCGTCACTGGAAGGACAGTATCTAATCTCTATGGCCTGACACACAAGACACGTCAGCGCACCAAAACTTGGCACCTACTTTGAGCCCTAGAGAAGGTGGACTCGCTGTGCTGGTTACGCTTGGATGCATGCATGCTGTACACAGAAGATTGGAAAAACTATGATTGCTGTGACAAAACTTGGACAAACAAAATTGTTCAATGCCCTTGCAAACGGTCAATTGAGAAAAAGGCACGGCTGATTCGTCCCAAGTGGACATCAAGAGTTTGCGACCCATAACTCAAACTGTTGATCTGCCATGTTCCAGAAAAACGTGATACTCTGCACAAAAAGGTTGGGAGGATTTTCTAGGCATGTCCTCATCCTAGACATCCTCTGGTGGCTCTGAAACTGTATCTTTGGCGTTTGACTTCAACTTATTGTTCTGAGCTCTTTCTTGTGCTCGCCTTTGAGGCAGCAACTTCTCTTCCTTTTTCCGCTCCAGAACTGTCTGCTCATCGGCCAGTTGATACCGACTTTGACGGAGGACTGAGCGTGGCAGATCCAAGGGTTCTCCCTTGTCTTTGGTGAAAGCATCTGCGACCATCTGTCCGGTTGGGCACCATCTAGGTTCCAGACCACAACGCTTGATGGATTGACGGATGATTGCAATGTCAATTGCAGTGCGTTTATCATCAAGGGTTCCTCCATTGCCTATGGTATTGAAGTGGTCATATATAGTGATCTACAATCGCTGACTCCTACCGGCTCACGTCGCTGCAACACCAAGTCGACTTCAGAGAGTGAAAAGGGGCCATCTAAGGCTTCAGCCAAAACCAGCAAGGTCCATTTTGCAATGCTGGAGGCTACAGCAAAACTCTGAGCCTCTCCGCTGGGAGTGGAAGACACAACTCTCTGAAGGCGATACGCAGGCGATACGGCCGCCAACCAATGCAGTTGATGGGAACATCTTTTCCAGCAGAGAAACTCTTTGGGGCCAGAGCCAACAACCATCCACCCTGAGTATGCAAAGTTTGAGCATTGGCAAGCGCTGCATCGGACCAAAACACTGTAGTGATTTCTTTGGGGGAAATATAAGGCACTGTGATTCTCAGGTCAGATTGTTGTCTCGCGCGACGCACAGCTTGATTCACTCAGCTTGATTCACTTGTAGCAAGTCTTGACCGGTGGGCAATGGAAATGCTTGTTGAGACATTGATGTCTGAACAGCAAGATCTGGCCTGGATTGTGAACTCAACCATCCCAGGGCCCCCATTCACAGCTCTAAGAGCTGCCACCTCTCGCTCTGTCGCGTGCAACCAATGCTTCTTTGCTCGTTCTCGGGACACATGAATGGGGTTGATGCTATTTGCATAATCCTGTTGGTGATAGCTGATTTCTTTGGTGATGGGGTCCTGTTCATACCAAGTTCCTAGAAATTCACCTGGCAAAGTCCGCCACTTTCGAAAAGGGAATCTCTTTTTCAACGTGCTAATTGCCTGTTTATATACCTCACCTGAGCCTCCCGTGATGGTGTCATCCACATGGGCTCCTAGGACTCCTTGAAGTTCACCATTGGGTCCACGACAAAAGTAAAGGCAACTGTCGAACTTGGAACGGGAAAAACCTGACTGAAGGGTGACATCGTCAAACTCTTTGTACCAATTGGCAGGTGCATCATTTGCACCATAAATGTTGCCAAGAACTTGAACTAAACTGCCGGGCTTGATGCCTGGCACACCTCCTGGGGGAAGCTCGGCAAAAACTGGATTCTCAAGTGCCTCTTCAAGACATTGGCCTCTAAAAAGGCGCCTTTGATATCCCCTAGGTTCAAAGTCCATTGATGGCTTACAATTAATTGAAGGATGATGTTCCTACTGAGTTGTGACAATGTCGACGAATTGCATTTCCCGGCAAGAACTTTCTGCATCAGATCGGGGTCGTGATGACATCGCAAACACCAACGCGACGTCACTCTCGTGTGATTGTCCTCCTGCTTTTCGGTGATGACAAAACGGCTGGACATTATCCTGTCTGGCTTTTCTTTTCGGATGCTTTCGGCTTCATGGGGAGGAATGACACGGATTGCTTGTTTCTCATCTTGCAGGGTGTTCCACTCTACTATTTTAGATTCACTAATCTTATCTTGAAGTTCCGGTGGGTTATTTGAATGATGCAATTCCTTCTGCATCTTCTTTTTCATGAACGTGGATACTAGAACCTCTACGCCTGCATCTGGTGTGTTGGACATGCATTCCACAAGGAGGCAAATCATCTGGAGAGTCTCCGGCGGGCTGACGCTGGGTCCTCGGGGGACGAGACCGCTTTTGGGCCTGATTGCGTTCCTCACTAATCTCTACCATGACATCCCGCAGATCTTCAGCTTGAGTCTGGACTGGCCTAAACACAAACGTGTCACTACCCTTGGATTGCCTAACCCTTATTGGAGCGTAAGTGCTGGGACCAAGACTTTGCAGATTAGAGTTCTCTGTGGGATATGGTTCTGCCCCTGCCTGACTCAAGACTTGTGGACTGTCGGAACAACTTGCACGTGCATCCGGAGTCTCGGGAACTGTCTCCGGGATAGGTGCCAATGGCATGTTGGCTGTTGAACTGACACTTGAAGCAGGCTCTGGAGACAAAATCCAGAAGCGTGACTCACCAGTCCAAGGTTCGTCTTGAACCTTCTTGTGACGCTGCTCTGGTGAGGACCATGGACAATCAAGCCGTTCATCTTGATCTACTTGACAATTGCCTACCACACAAGTCAATCTCCAATCATCAAGTAAAGTTCCGAACCACGGGATCATTTGGTTCAGGCATGAACGTGTGAGTCCTAGGTTCTACATGCACTCTACACAGGACATTTCCCCGCTGAATCCAGTGATCTTGATCAGTTGGTGCCACACGGTCGGCAATCTTCGGAGGAGCACTTTGATTCGTGAGATCAACAAACTGATGACCTAACAAGTTCTGACCCTTTTCAATCAGATCTGTGAGACCCAGCCGTTCTTTGCCGTGGGTTTGGGCGGCAAAACGTTCTTCTTGAGAGGCAAGTCGCAAGTGTTCCGGAGCTACCTTGAACATGTTCTTTTGGTGAAAAACCAGAAAATTGCGACCTACTTTCCCCAAGACAATGGCAGTGCCCCACCAACGACCTCCTACCAGCCTCACACCCCTTTGATATTTTTGGGACCGCCAGTAGCAAACCAAGTCACCTGCTAAGAACTCTCTCTCCACTCTTGGGCGTGCATTCATTGCCACTCTCAAGGTCTAAGGTCTTGTCATCCTGTGACATTACTACAGCCAGCCTTGCAGACGCTCGGATTGCTCGAGCTCGAGCGAGCGGCTCATCATTCAGGGGTGTCGTGGACGACACTGGACACGGCCAATCCTGGAGCAAGTCCTCTGGGACTCTGGGGTTTCGGCCAAACACCAGCTGACACAGACTAAGCCCCTTATTAATAATCAGTTCATTCTTACTGTTGGCTGTTTGCATTACACACGCTTCAAACTCAGACTGGGACTTAGGCTGCATCTGATCCAAAACCTTTTGCAGAATCAGTTCAAACAGGTGACCATGTTTCTCGACCTTTCCCAGTTGATTGTGAGCTTCAGCAGCTATGGTAAGAATTCTCGTTCCCGCTTGCTCTAACATTGCCACGAAAGAGTCAGCCGTATTGGTACGACCAGGATCCATCAACACTTCCACTGGTGGCCCTGCACAAAGCAGCCAGCCATTCATGTATGCCTGACGGAGCACTTCTGACGTCTCCACCTCATAAAACGGAATCATGACCTGTTAGCTTGATGCATAGTCAACTATATTCAGACATTTGATTCGTTGGTTTGCCTTCCAACCTGGCACTACCTTAACATCTATGCCTATCCTATGATTAAAATCCAGGCAGACACTTGGAGATGCTGGCAGGCATGGTGTTGGACGTTGCCGCTGCACACAAAGAGCATCGCTTCTCGAAATCCTTTGCCAGGGAAATTGCTTGTTCCGTGGCTCCTGCATTCTTCAGGATATTAGTTAAATCTCTATCTGAGGGATGTCCCAGGTTATTGTGCAACTTGGTGAGGGATTGGAGGACTGCTGAGTCGGAATGCTCAGTGCTCTTGGACGCGGCCAGCACTTCGGCTACTTCTGCACACGCACCTATGGACTGAGAGGAATCTTCAGTGGCTTCCAACATTGCATGGTGCATGAACACTACTGAGCCATGTCCTACAGAACTGTGGTGTGTACCTGGCAGACCTGCTACTGATGTTCTCACCATCAGAAGCCTTCCCGGCTACTACCGTGTGCTTGTGGTGTCCTGGGCAAGTCATGGCCAAGGACTGCATGTCATCATGAGATACCATCAGGGGCGTAGGCTTGAGAATTGGAGTACCGTCGGGATTTACCAGACCATACACGCGCATGTCGGCACGGCATTTGAACATGGAACGTGTCACCTTTGCCATGGGCTCGTACTTCCACATATCCGAGCTCCAAGGGTGCTCGATGAGCACACGACCTCCACGCTTCAGCTGCTTCTTGATCTCCTGCACACAGAAATCCACCTGCTTCTTGGCAAAGCGCCGATTGATCAATTGCTGTTCCATGGATAGGTGTTTTTGATTGAGACGATACCAACCACCCCAATGTTTACACTCAGGGCATACTACCAACAATTTTGGTTTGCCTTCACTCAGCTCCTGGCTCACCTTCTTCTGAACAGCAGGTGCAGTCAAATCCCAACCCTGTTGGATGTCGTATGAAAGACCTCTTTCTCCCAGCTCGGATGCCACCTCAGAAAACCTGGGTGGTGAGAAAATTTCTGCCACGAGACCATTGCCTGATGACTTGTCCCAGGCCTCACTTTGAGCCAGCAAAACACTACATTCTCGACGGGTGAGTCCCTGACTGCGTTCTTGCGGAGACCCTGCACACTCATTGGACTTTTCGGTGTACCATCTAAGTTCTCTCCATTGAACCTCTTCCATGGCACTACAGGTCAGGTGCTGCTTTCAGCCAGACCCTCCCTGGGATCTTTAGGATAGATACTAACCGGCTCCGCGATACCAGTTAGAATCCACCAAGCCCTGGGGTCTTCCTAGACCCAACACGCCAAGACTTCTTTGGTTCCACCTGAGCCATAAGTGTCTATTGGACGGTCGAAGATGCCTGAGATCGGACAGTTGGATGGGTGCTGCTTTCAAGCCATGTATATACAGTATATTATTATATATACATACACAGACACACAAATATTTGTAATTAGTATATAAATCCACCAATCTGCGCCTTCCAGCCAGAGCCCCATACATCCACTTGGGGGTCTTACAACACTTGGCAAGCGCTGGCAAGTCCGATGATTGCTTTTTTCTCAGTAATATTGGATCATAAACATGACGACTAACAAACTACACATTGTACACAAACCAATTCACTATGACTACAAGCAATCATGGTTCCCATATATTCTCATGCTTCTTTCCCACATCCAAAAAACATCGCCAGCATCACTTTTTCAACTTAAGTAGATAACACAATTTACAACTACAACACATTCAGTGTGATCACATCCGTATCAAGGATTTCCATAGATCTCAAATTTGTAAATATCGGAAACCTCAATCTCCATCCTGTCCTGGGCTTCCCCACAGGCCCGGACCTTCGCGCGGGCGTGACAGTCAAGGATTGAGGACGATGGCAGCTCAATGCTGCGTCCATCATGCTGTTGAAGACATTCAGCAAGGTAGTCATGGAAGCCGTCGACCATGGCTTCCTAGGGGCCAAAAGGTGTACCAGCAAATTATTCACACTTGAACGTTGTGTGGGGAGATTGAGGTGTTCATTTCTGATTTTTTTGGGTGTTCCCAAGTTTGAGACAACTCCATATTGTTCATCTTACATGGTTGATGATAATGACGTTTACCATTGAATATGGACATATATGTACATATATGTATCATATTATGCACGTATCAGTGGAACATAACTTGATAACCATCCAACCATGGGGATTTCGTAGGGATTGGACTGGTGTCTACTCTAAACCACTGGACGGGTGTCGTGCTTTCCATCTGGGGAATTGGTCGCCCCAGAGTTCAGGCAGCTGGGGCAGGCGGCCTCGTATGAATTCTCCAACTACGAGCCATGGTTCTGGTAGATTTCACCAAAAAAATGATGGACATGATGTTGATGAGATGGGTTACCCACTGAGAAACAAATTGACCAGGTATATTGGCACCATCCACGATTTTGGGAATTATTGGGCGCCCTGTTCTGACCCATTTCCATCAGGTAATCTACTGTAAGTAGAAGATGATGGATAGATAGCTAGCACGGAGGAGGCATTCTGCGTATGGCAAGTCAATGGCTGGTTGATCAGTCACCCCAAGGGGGCTGTGAAAAGAGTCGCCTTCAGGTTTTTGCTATGCAAAGTTTCGCCAGATTTTGGTCCAACACCAATGCCTTCTTTGCCCTGTCAAAGAAAGGTGTCGCTCATGAGAGTCTCCGCTGGATTGGTGAAAAAGGGAACAAAAATCGACGACGTGAACCGCAGATTTGACCCGTATAAAATTGGTGGTAAAAAGATCTCGAAAGAAACAGTGGAAACCAGTTAGGACTTTCCCTTTAACCAATCTAGTCACCATGAAAAACACTTAAAATCACTACACCAGCACCCCGGCCCCTGGTTGCATGACCCCAGCGATATTTCAAACCACCTGCCAATAGACCTTGAAATCTCCAATAGATGGAACCTCAATTAGGTTGTAATATATATATATTATATATATATGTATGCAATCTATATATATATAAATAAATAAATACATTTTATGATATATTATATGTATGTGTTTAAACCGAAACCATACTATACACGCCACACTTATGGCTGAATTTCAAAATCGGTTTGCGTAAACTATAAGAACAATATATGCACATATACAATCACTATCCACGATCTCTATAATATGTTCATACATAACATACATTACATACATTACATACACTACATACACTACATACATTACATCCATCCATCCATCCATCCATCCATAGATACATACATACATACATACATACATACATGTATACAAAACATAACCATAACATAACATTACATTACATTACATACATCACATACATTACATACATACATACATACATACATACATGCATGCATACATACATACATGCATGCATACATACATACATACAAAACAAAACCGAAACATAACAACACAATACATCACATTACATTGCATTACATTACATTACCTTACAGACATTACATACATTACGTACATTACATACATCACATACGTTACATACATACATACATACATACATACATACATAAACACATACAGACATACAAACATGCATGCATGCATGCATGCATACACACACACATACATACATACATACATGACATACATGACAAACATACATACATACATACGTACATACATACATACATACAGACATACATAACATACATAACATACATACATACATACATACAGACAGACAGACATACATATATATATACATTACATACATTACATACATTACATACATTACATACATTACATACATTACATACATTACATACATTACATACATTGAAAACATTACATACATTACATACATTACATACATTACATACATACATACATGCATGCTTACATAGCATTACATTACATTGCATTGCATTGCATTGCATTACATTACATTACGTACATAACATACATTACATTACATTACATTACATTACATTGCATTACATTACATTACGTTACATTTCATTACATACATACCTACATACATACATCACATCAAATCACATCACATCACAGAACATCACATCACATCACATTACATACATACATACAGACATACATACATGACATTCATACATATACATACATACAAAACATAACATGACATAACGTTACATGACATGACATGACTTTACATTACATTACATTACATGCCTTACATACATTACGTACATTACATATATCACATACATTACATACAGTACATACGGTACATACTTTACATACATTACATACATTACATACACTACATACATGCATACATACATACATACATGCATGCATGCATACATACATACAGACATACACACATACATACATACATACAAACATACATACATAAACACATACAGACATACAAACATGCATGCATGCATGCATGCATGCATACACACATACATACATACATACATACATACATACACACACATACATACATACATACATAACATGACATAACATTACATGACATTACATTACATACATACATTACATTAAATTACATTACATTAAAATACATTGCATTGCATTACATTACATAACGTTACATTACATTACATACATACATCACATCACATCACACCACATCACATCACATCACATCACACCACATCACATCACATCACATTATATACATTAATTACATACATACATACATACAGACATACAGACATACAGAGATACAGACATACAGACATACAGACATAGAGACATACATACATACACACACATACATACACACATAACATAACATGACATAACATTACATGACTTTACATTACATTACATTACATGCATACAGTATATATAGCAACCCCCCTGCAGATAATCACGTAAAATCCTACTAAAGTAGTCAAAAATTACTTATATATATATAATAATAATAATATATACGTATATGTACAGTATATTTCGAATTACTGTTTTGGGTTACTGTAAATGTTTTCGATGACGGGTCATAAACCAAAGAACTTCATCCACAAGAACATCACTATATAACTTGGGGACCGGTTTTCACAGGTAGGTCATCAGTTTTATCACCTGGCTATGAGCCAAAGCCCTGGCACCCTAGGTACCGCAACAAAGCTGGTTAATGGATGGTTCTTCCCCAAAATAGTGTAATAATACCGGATGTAACTATAATTAGGTTTTGACCCATCTCCATCTATAAACGGGCCATTCCTGAACAATTTTCCCCCCTTCATCTCCAGCAGGTCGCTGCACTTGGAGGTCGCCTCGCTGTTCCGTGTCCACGGTGCTACACTCGCTGGCCGGCACGCCGCTGGGTGCTACGTCCCGTGGCAAAAAGGCACCCCAGGAGGGTAGGGCGATGAAGTTCAGACCAACCTCACTGGGCGAACGCTCAAAACGGAAGAGGGTGACGAAATAGGGGCTCAATTTTTACTTGTTTTTTGAGTGTTTTTTGGTGGTTTATGTTGTTTATATTCATAGCATGTTGTTTTCAAAAGAATTTTTGTGTTTCATGTTTTTTGCTTTGTGTGTGCTACATTCCTATTAGATGCTTTATTTGGTTCTTGTTTCGTCTAGTTCAGTAAAGTGCTTGTCAAATAGTATAGTAGGACTGGAGATACGGTCGAAATCCTTTGTTTGTAAATCGTTTTTCTAATGGTTTTTGCACAGCTGCTTGGAAATAAACACATGGCAAGGAACAAGCACAATTAGTATTCTTTCATTTTCTTCCTCCCTTTCCTTAGGGATCTCTAGGGATCTCTGGGAATCCCTGGAGGATCTTTGGGGATCTTTGGAGATCTGGGAATCTCTGGAGATCTCTTGAAAGCTCCTTCAGATGAAAAAGGAGAAAAACAAGGGACAATCACTGCCATTACATATCCTGAAGGAGGAACAAGAAATTTGTCAAACTGTTTTTCTGACTGAAGTGGTTTGCACAGTGTTGAAGGTTCTGCGCGTTAATGTTTTTATCATATGAAAGAACATTATGCGAAGATTTGACCAGCATATTGATAAACATGATACACACTGCGAAGTTTGCTGCTGCAAACCATGCAAGCATGGATCTGACATGGAACATGTCATGTTGAACTTCTTTCAGCTGCAGCGATCGCTGCCATTTGCCACCTGAGTGGTGGGAACCCGAGCCTGCGGTGATCTGATACCGCAGTGTCTTTCGAAAAGGCGCTGCCACACTGCGAGTGCAACTCTTGGGGCGGACTTCGTGGGCCCAACCCCAATCTTGACATTGGTAGCAGGGCTTTGCGCCGAACTACCTGGCCAAGCTCTTCTGTGCTTTGCCCTGGCCCTGTGCAGGCCTTGCTACGTTGCATCGCTCTGGCCCCGAGCAGGCCCTTGGTGAACATCTTTGCGGAGATCGGGCACTGCCCCTGCATCTTGGTGATCGCCCTGCTGGTGCACTACTTGGTGTACTACCACCTCGCTGCTGAAGGCAATGTCTGGTGGTGGTACTGGATCGGCTAGTGCCTCCGGAATGGATGTGGCGACCACCAAGGACTCCTACATCCCGCTGTTCAGTGGCCAGCCCTCTGACTACAACAAGTAGAGAAAGTGCCTCACCATCTACGTGATGAAGATGCGGATGGCCAAGAGTGAGGCTTCCCCATTGAGGAGATCGAGAAGACTGGTGCCTTCCACAAGATCCTCAAGATCCTCGACAAAGCTTTTGAGTATGGCAAGACGATCCAGCTTCCGAATGACTTCGATCGATACTTCAGTGGACTTCAAAGGCGGCCTGGCCAATCCCTCCTGGACTACACAACTGAATATGACCACCTCTACAACAAGTTGGCCGACCACGACGCGACGTTGCCCAACAAGGTGCAGGGATGGCATCTATTCAGACGGGCCGGACTGACCGGAGAGCAGTGGCAACGTGTCACCGCACAAGCACCTGGAATGGAGCGCAACAAGGTGCAAGAAGCCCTCTTTCTCCTGTTGGGTTAGGCTGGAGGCGGCCATCATGGACACCACCGCAACTTCCGTGGCAAAGGTCGTGGGTATGCATGCAGTTTACTATGAAGATGACGAGCGCGACCCAGACTATGATTGGCCCGAAGACCCCAACTACGACTATGAGGAAGGCTACTATGAAGATGAGGCCTACTTTCAAGATCCCTCTCCAACAGCTGCTGATAGCTATGTGGACGAGACCTAGGACTTCGACAAGGACGCGGCCTACTTCCAGACCCTAAGTACGACTCTGCCTACGCCTTACATCGATGCCCGCAAGTGCTTCAATGAGATCAAGCTTAGCCGTGGCTACTTGCCGATTGTTGCGCTCACAGATGGTGGTGGTGCTCCATCCGCATCCTCTTCGTTGTCACCGATGTCTCCAGGACGTGGCAAGGGCAAGACAAAGAAAGGGAAAGGCAAGGGTGGCCCCAACGTTGTGAAGTACCCTCCCAGGGGCAAGGAAAAGGAACTTGATCCAAAAGGGCGAGCCAGTGGCAACCCACCCGCTTGCCTGCGCTGTGGACAAGTTGGTCACATGACCTACAACTGTCCTGTCCCAAAGGGCGGCGGTGCAACCAAAAGTCGGCCCCGACTGAGAGCACCGTTGGTGATGTGGAGCATGGCCATGCGATCTTCACGGATGACCATGGATGTGAACGACATGATTGTGCCATGCTGGATCCTGGTGCCAGTGCTTTCTTGTCTGGCTATGGTCCCTTCCTGCGCTACATGCTGAAGCTCAAGGGGACTGAGTATGACATCAGCCTGGTGAAGTTCATGCGGTGCAAACGCACCTTTTATTTTTGGTGGTGATGCCAGCTTGGAATGCACCTGGACTGTTCGTCGCCCCTCTGCATTGGTGGCAAGTACGGCTATCTGCAGATGTCCCTGCTGCCGGGCGAAACTCCGATGTTGCTTGGAAGGCCCATCATGGAATCCCTTGGATTGGTGCTCGACTGCCGTAGCCGCATGATCAAGCTGGATGACATGCCCTGGCAACATGCTGTGGTTGGAGATCATGGTGAGTACATGTGAGTACCCTATCTCGCTGCTCAACGAGTTTGATTCCAGCATGTGGCAGTTCCCGCCGGCTGTCGAGCTTGTTGTTCCTGCTGATGGAGGAGTCACTCGAGAGCTCATGGACTTTGCGACCTTCAACAACGAGGTCAAGCTCTTCGACTCCCAAGCTGATGTTCAAGCTGCTGCCCAAGATGGACTTCGTCCTATGAGACGCCACTTGCTCCAGACCTGCGATGTGAAGCTCAACACTCTGGAGGATGAGCTGCATGCCTACATCACTGAGGCACTGCACCAGCCCGAACGCAAGCGAGTGCTCGGGGAGGTTTACAGTTGTGGAGCACGTGTGTCAGCCTTGGCTGAATCAATGGGCATGGATGTCGAGATCTTCAGCTATGAGACTGCCTAAAACTTTGACCTGCAGGAGCGCCAGGACATCTTCAAGGCTTCGCACCGAGATGCCGGACGAAGTCTAGCTGGCGCCCTCCTGTCATTTGTGGAGCCAGATGCAAAACCTTGCAGCCAGGTCCGACACCCCGCAAGCAGCACCACGCTTGCCATCTGATGTTTGTTGCGAAGGTCTACAAGGAGGAAGTTGACAACGCACGCCACGCTCACATCGAGCAGCCTGAGAAAGCTCTGAGCTGGCCTGCAACAGCCTTCAAGGACTTGCCTGGCTATTGGATTGTCCTCCATCAATGCATGTTTGGCTGCGCCTGCCTTGAACAAGATGGATGGTGGAAACTTGTGAAGAAGCCCACAGGTATCCTTCCAAGCAAGGCCTCCATGCAAGCTGCATTGTCAAAACAATGCGATGGGCAGCACATCCGTTGTCCTCTGGAAGGCTCGGCATCTGGATTTGGCCGTCACACTTCCTACCTTGAGGACTACCAGCCTGGACTTGCAGCCGCAATTGCAGCTGCCGTCACGGCCCCTGATCCTGCTCAGCTATGGGACTATGGATTTGCAGTCTGTGAGCAGAAGGAGCTCACTGGATGTCTTGTCAAGCCCCAGACGGCTCTCGAAGCAGTTGCACCGTGCAACGTTTGCACAGAAACCTTGGACATCCAAAGCCTGAGGCCCTGGTGGAACTACTTCAGAGCCGAGGAGCCAGTGATCAAGTCACTGAGGCAGCTTGCCATTTCCAATGCACTGCATGCCAGCGCTACAAGCGACCAAACCAGGTGGCAGCTTCTACACTGCGACATCAAGCTCATGAAGTTGGTGAACGCTTGCAGGCCGATGTGCTGTGGATCAAATGCAACAGCAGTGCCAAGAAGTTTCCCCACCTCATTGTCATTGACCAGGCCACCAAGTATGGCCCCATATCAAGCAACTCCAATCGCAAGTGCGAAACCTGGAGCAGAGCCGCAGAGCTTTTGGTACAAGGACCAACAGTTGCGTGCTTTGGACCGCAAGCGGATGACCCTGATTCGTCGAATTGGGCAACTTCGTGGTTTGGTGGATGCGTCGAGAGACCTCGCTGCACGAGCTCGACTGGAGGTGATGAACTATGCGCACAACGACTGCGTGGTGAGTCGACAGATCTTCATTGCTGCCCGTGGCAATGTGTGGCATGTGGATGATCAATGCCCACAGCTCTCGAAAAGTCAAGTGCTTGAGCGACATGCCTGCCAAGCCTGCTCTTCGTACGACATCACACCCTACCGCAACAACAACAGCAACAACAACAACAACAGCAACAGCAACAGCAACAGCACCAGCACCAGCACCAGCAGCAGCAGCAACAACAACAGCAACAACAGCAACAACAACAGCAACAGCAACAGCAACAACAACAACAACAACACCAGCAACACCAGCAACACCAGCAACAACAACAACAACAACAACAACAACAACAACAAGAACAAGAACAAGTTGTATCAGGATCTGAGTGGCTACCTTGGCCAACTGGAAGACCTCTCTGACGAGGATCGGTTCACACCTGATCCCATTGAAGCGATTCCTGATGTGGCTGAATAGCAGCCAATACCTTTTCCCCTGTGTGAAGATTGCTGCTGCAAACCATGCAGACATGGATGTGACATGGAACATGTCATGTTGAACTTCTTTCAGCTGCAGTGACCGCTGCCATTTGCCACCTGAGTGGTGGGAGCTCGAGCCTGCGGCGATCCGATACCGCAGTGTCTTTCGAAAAGGCGCTGCCGCACTGCGAGTGCAACTCTTGGGGCGGACTTCGTGGGCCCAACCCCAATCTTGATACACACATATATGATGTTCCGAAAGTACTGCATTTCGACAAACGTGGCAAAATGGGGCCCCCATTTCGTCATTTTGTCCAAAACGGATGGGCTGGATATGCTGGAGGGATACCGTACCTGGAGGAGTGCGTTGTTGTCGTTGTCGTGTTTGTCGTTGTTGTTGTGGTGGTTGTGTTGTTGGTGTTGTTGGTGGTATTGTTGCTGTTGTAAGTTGTATGGTTGAGAAAGATAATTCCCCCCAAAGAAGCGGGAAAGACAGAAGAAAAAAAGGCAATTGTATCAATTGCAACACATGAGTGGAGGATTTACTGTAAGAGAGGATTTACTGTAAGAATAAATGAGAACATACTTTGGGATATCAGATATATCATATATGATACAAATGGGTTTGGGCGAGATGTGCGGGGGTTGTATCGTCCCAAAAACTCAAATTCGGGTACCCCAGCTATTGTGAATGGATTGGTTGAAGACAAAATTGCACCGAAAACCATGGATATAGTTGTGGACTTTTGGGGGTTCCATAAACGAATTGAGGTACACAAACCACTGATGTGCTTAGCCATTGCCTGAGGTTATTTTTTGAAGGGTATCTTGCAGGCTTTAGGTCCATTTTTGGATGTTGACGGCCCATTGGTTTCTTTGGAAACGTTCTTTCACTGACACGAAGCACGTGGCTGATCGGTGATTTTTTGGGAGTATATGACCAAGAAGAATCAAGAAGAATCATTCATCACCACCCATCATGTTGGTGATTCACATACGAATCATCAGTTAGAATAAACAAATAGAACTTGGGTATCATCCAAGTTGGGCACAGCTACAAGAACAGGGACCAGCCAGCTACTACCGCAGGTTTTCTAAGCGATTCGGCAATTTGGAAAGGAGAACAAACTGACCGGACAGTACACTGGCTCGCAGTCACAAGGCAGGAAATGGCTCAAAATGATTGAATTCACAAAGTCTAGACTCTGGACATCACGACCAAGCTATTTTTGTGAGGCCACTGACCTCCCATTGGACCTGCAAAATCCCAAGGCTGGATGTCCAGCGGGGCCAGTTCCAGTTGGTGGTGAAACCGCCCCGAAAAATCGCGTATTGGGAACACCCCAGATAGGACATTGAAGTGAGCAAACAGATGCCAACAAAAAAAGGTATGTACACCAATGTACAGCAACAAACAAAGCTCATTGTAACCATTATACGTAGTTATACAGTTAAACAATATTTAATCATATTAGTATCATATTTACCCTCTGGTAAACTAACATAGCTATGGAAAATCACTATTTTCAATGGGTGAATCCATTATAAATGGTCATTTTCAATAGCTATGTTAAATTACCAGAGGGTATACATCATATTCCAGTCCTAAAACATCCTGATGTTTCATACTCCCGTTAGGGTCACCGGATGTCACAACGGCCGGCCGGATGTCACCATCCCCTGGGAGATCTTGGCATGCGCTGCGTGCGGGGCTTCTTGGGTGTTAAAGAACTCGGGCACCTTGGAACATCGGTGAACATCGGTCAAGGGATGGGATGCTACCCGACATGGTAAACATAGAAAAAGTTACCCTCTGGTAAACTAACATAGCTATTGAACATCACCATTTTGAATGGGAAAATCCACTATTCATGGTCATTTTCAATAGCTACGTTAAATTACCAGAGGTTATTGAACATGGCCATTTCGTTAGTTGATTTACCCATAAAACATGGAGATTTCCATGGTTTTTTGTATGTTTATGGGAAATCACCGTAAACTAAGAACGGTAAATCAACTATGTCTATGGGCCATTTTCAATAGCTATGTTAAATTACCGGAGGGTAACCATCAAGCATGGGGACATGAGTCAACAACTATGGATATCCACAGTAACATCATGAATCAGCGGTTCCCCTGCAAGTCTGCCTGCGATGATTTACCACCAAGGATGACTGAAGCCTATGTGATGGGTCTTGAATTTTGAGCCTTAGCCATATGCGATTTCATCCTCATGCTAGATTCAGGTAGCTTTCAGTTTAGTTTTCTGATCAAAAAGACAGGGTCTACCGCCACAGTCAGTGAGTTATGAGGAAGGAAAACACCCGATCAAGATGTACAAGCAGAAGGTACTCTTTGCTTTCACTGCATACAAATAACTATGCCAAGCTATGACATGAAGAGTGGCCGAATCCACCCTCTACGCTCTGCCAGGAAATTTGAACACCAGCGCTGCAGCGAAATTGCCATGGGTCGTGCCCCTACTCTCCGTCTCGATCGCTATCCCAAATGTATAAACACATTTCGGATCATCTTTGGAAGGCAAAAAAGTCAATAGAAAAGTCATGTTTTTGACAGAGCCAACCAATTTCAGAATCCAAAAGCCGTATCGCAATGAGCATGGTCAGTAGATTGTATAACTTGTTTTCAACTAACTCCAAAGCACCCTACGTCCAATCGGAACAGCAAACACTTTCATTCCGAAAGGTCCATGTTTGGGATATTGATTTCATATGATTGTTTTCTTCCACAATTTGCGTAACTAGTAGGGTAAACCCACTCATAAACACAACTGTTCTTTCTAAGTATGATCTTCAAATCCCACCCTAAAATGGTAAAATTGCGGAAAAAAATGTGGTTCAGGGTTTACATTGTTTCTTCATGGTTTAACTATGGTTTTTTCTGCAACTACCTGTGGGTGGCCCTCCACCTCCCCCACTTCACACTTGGGCATCGATGCCGGATACACGATGGGCTCAATCCCCCCTGCAGCGCAGAGCGCCGTGTGGAAATCAACCATTTGTAGAGGATTTTCCTGGGGGAGCCATGGATTTTCATGGATTTTCCACATCTGATTGTGAATGGGATCACCCTAGCGTAGTCATTGGGGATCATTGTCCCAGAGTAAAAAAGATCAATGTTTGAAACCAGAAGCCAGGTTATGGCACGGTCTTTAGCAGCCTCAAATTCGGGCTCAAATTCTTGCTGGTAAATTGGCTCCCACGAACAAATTCAGTACTCGATGCTGTTGTTTTGGTCTTCCTTTGTGAACTTTAACTTTTCTTACTTCATGAGTCTAGTTTTGCGGTTGTCCACACTTGTATCACTAGCCCAGCCAGTACCCAGCTTTCAGATTACAAGCCGAAACCAGCAACCAACAAATTGGAATTTTCAGGCCTACCCACAAATATGTAGATAGATATTCATGTACGCAACTGTATATTAGCAAATGAGTAATTATGTACAGTAATTATTTAACACATATATATGTACAGTAATTATTTAACACATATATATATATATGTATGCACATTTGCCCTGAATGAAGCAAGTGATCGCCAACACCTTACCCCGCAGCTTGTGCCTTTCGAAACAGCCATGATGAACTTACAACCAAACGCCGAGGCGGTCGTAGTGAATCAACTTCCAACTCCAGGAATGATCTTTTTTCTGAGTCAACGTCCAACATATCAGAAATATATTTAAGCATAGACTTCTTTGATGAGCAAAAGTTCATCCTCTTGATCGAACATACTGTTTCCTTGATATGTTTTGTTTTTTTCATGTGACCCAACCTCGGTGCTGGCGGAATCGGTGAGCAGAAAACATCGGCGAAGCCCCATGGCTAGTCATGGTGAAATCAGCTGATTTCACCAGAAATGGGGATTTGACAGCCAAAGAATTGGGAATATCAGCGGTTATACCATGTTATACCGTAAAAAACCCTCTATACTATGACAAGCCATCTTCTGGATCGTTTGATTCAAGTCTTGACATCGGGCATCTTCACTTGGCAGCTCCGAGTGTTTTTCAAACAGGTTCCCCAAAAAATGTGTTCTCCGTTGACATGGCCATATGGAAATTGGTAAATCATGGTAAATCCATGATTTTTGAAGAAACAAAGTAGAATCCTGTTGGTTACTATCTCAATATATGGAGTTTCTTAAAGTGGGGCAATCCCCAGTCGTCACCATAGCTTTCAATACGAAGATATGGTCATCCATGACTGGACAATTTGGGGGTAGCCCTATGAGTCAGGAAACCTCCATATATATGTTTATATATATATATGATACATTATATGAATATTTTTTCACAATAATATATATATATACAGTACCTCACTATAATCCATAAATCAAGAATATCTCACTATATCTCACTATGCCAATATATAAGATAATAACAATATCATAATTATAAATAACATGGCTTCTATGTGGGTTATCTATGGTTATCCTATATATATACAGTATCACTTATATCCCAATTATGGTTAGTTCTACACCACTAGGAACTCCAGGGGGTCCCAGCAAAATGGAACATGTAACGGTTTAACGGTTTAACCATCGCGAAATCATGGGATTTAATACTGCGAAAGGCAGGTGCAAAAGTCTGCCCTTTTCTTGAGCCATGTGCAGTCAGAAATCCTTGTGCAGGGGCCATGCTATGAACGGTCGTCCATGCTGCATGCCAGTCCTACAAGTGACAACACTTCTTGATTTGTGTGTGTCATCCTTTGAAAACGGCGCCACACTCCCCCAATGTTGCTGGTGCAACATTTTCGGTGGCCGTAGCAAAATGCCAGACCAAAGCTTCGTTGGCTGGTCTTATAAAAGGAAAAGAGCCATGCTACATGTCCTCCTCTTCATTCTCGGGAGTCTCGGCAGCGTCCTCGTTCTCATCTTCGGACACCAAGGAGTAGTCGTCGGTGATGTTCCCCTCAGACTCCAAGGCCTCCTCTTGAAAACTCTCAGCTTCCTCCAAGCCCTCCGGGGGTGGGTCCAAACGTCGTTCGGCCTGATACGGAGTGCCCAGTGCCTTGGCGACCAAGGCGGGCTGTTTCGCCCATGCTCCAGCCACGGACCCCCGCGGGGTAATCAGCCCCGGGTCCCCTCTCGTGGCCCAATCTCCGGGGTTCACCGTAGAGCTCGAGGACGCCAAGCCACCTGGATTCTGCTCAGGCGGTCGCATTGCAATCCGCAAAGAAGCCAGCAGCGGATTTCCACCAGATCGATCTCCAGCTCCAGTTGGAATGACCCCCATAGGTCCTGCTCCCATCGACATAGATCCGGCCGAAGTCATCTGGCCCACGTCTCGATCATCAATTGGCCCACCAGTGCCCATCGCAGCTCGTCCACGAGGTCCAGGTTCAGGGCGGCCACGAGGACGGTCTCCTTCAGCTCCTGCGGGCGCCTGATACCGGCCATACTTATGAGTTGGCCTACAGTACCCCTCAGCCATCGGCTTCGGTGCAGCTCCAGCCCCGGGCGGTGGATCGGCACTCGACATGCCACCCTGCCCTGCAATGCTAGGAGGCGGACCAGTTGGAAGCGATCCCGCCATCCCATGAGGTGGTGGACCCGCTGGCGGTGGTCCTGGCATTGCATGGTGTACTGGAACTGCTGGTGGTTTGGCCATACGGTTCATCCAACCCTGCATATTCTGTCGCTGGAACCAAGCCTGAGGTGGTGGTTTTCTTCCAGGTTGGACCATCCCGTGCTCAAACGGAACCCCTGGGTCAGCCTCCTCTTCTTCGGTGCTTTCTCTGGCCCCAGGTGGTGGGTAAGCACTTGACATGCCACCCTGCTTCACCATCGGTGGTAGGTCCTCATAGCTCCAGGTCACCACATCAGGTCGGATCCTGGGCAACCCTGAGCTGTTGGCCCCACTCTGGTCGCCCTCCTTGATCCTGAAGAAGGTGAAGCCCTTCCATTGTCCAACCCCTGGCACAGGCTGACTTCCAAAGCCCCAGTGGTCGCAGTGCACCTGCCGGGTCCAGGGTCGACCACCGGTGCAATGCCACACCACAGTCGTCCTTTCTGGCTCCAAGTCCTCGCACCTCACAGGGGTGCTTGTGTGCACCGGGTGGTACAGCCTGGATCGGAGTCCACCGTGGACCCTGACCCACCATCCACCAGTCAAGCTGCGCCAGCGGTCACTGCTTCCCGTCGGCAAGCTCTGGAACTCTGCGTCATCCCATGGACCACTCCACGATCCAGCAGCCATGGCTCCACGCACAGCACAAAGGCGAGGCACGATTGGGGAGCCTGTGAGGCTACAGTCGGAAGTAGGTTCAGTAGGGTTAGCAGGGCCTGGTTCATTTTCCCTAGGCCTCTTTTCATGTTCTTGTGCTGGTCTTGATTTGATTTTTTCTTCAACTGGTTTAGCCATAGATGCCAGCCCTTCATGACAACACATCCACGCCGTGAGAGCCGACAGGCTAACAGCTCCAGCGGTTTTCACCAACTGGTTAGCTCCGTTTTGGAGCACCAATCCTCCAAGAGCAACTACCGCCTCAGCCAGGCGACAAAGCCGTGATGTTTCATCCGGCATGGAAAACTTGGTCAAACCTAAGGTCCTACGGAACGACTCCCAGCTAGTCAGCAGCACCACAGGCTTCGTCAACAGGTCGGCCGCCAGCTCTGCTCCAGGAACATGCTCCACATGCCACTCGCGAGAAGCCAATCGCTCTCGCAGGACGAAACTTCTCAATCTCAGGTGTCGTGTTCTCCAAGGGCCATCCGGCGCCAGCAGCAATTGGATCCCAGACAGGTTGTCGCCTCTGATCTCAAACTGACCATCGTCGATCATGGCGTTGTGCTCCAGGATGTTCAGGATCACCTGAAGCGACTCGCCCATCGTCAGCGCATCCACATATCCAATGAGCTCGGCCTCCGTACTGCTCAGAGCAGCAAAGGGTTGCCTTTTGCTCTCCCATTGGACCAGAGCGCCACCCCACAATGCCAATATGCCTTGGCAACCACGAAGTCCCTGTGGGGCATGTGAAGCATCCGACAGGAGGGTGAGCTTCATCAGCTCATCTGTTGGCTCCCCCTGATCTGTCAAACAGCTCTTGTAAGTCAAGACAAACTCCCAGGTCGCCTGCAGGTAGCCCAGCAAGTAGCGTCCCAGCTCCTGAACCTTTTTGGGGCACTTGGTCACCCAACCGCTCAAGGTCGATACGGCGAAGGCAAGGTCAGGTCTGGTTCGACCACTCAACCAAAGGAGTTCTCCCAGCAACTGCTGGCACCTGCGAACATCCGCAGGGTCAATGTTATCCTCCACATCCGGAGCCATGTCAATCTTCGGAAGTGGAACTTGGCGACCAGGAACTGGACCATGTCGTTCAAGAAGCTCGCGGGCAAAGTCAGGCTGACCCAAGAGCAAGGAGTCTCCCTGCCATCTGAGCTGCATCCCACAGAACTTCAGCCATTTGACCTCGTTGACCCACTCCACCTCCGAGCACGTCCACTCATCCCGGATTCGGCCCAAAGAAGCTTCAACCACATGGCGAGGTCCAGCACAAAGGATGTCATCCACATAGACAATGAGGAAGCCAAGAGGATCCGCATGAGCATCATCGTTGATGACTGCCTCCGGGTAGTTGGTCTTGGAAACCCCCATGATTGACCAGATGTTGGGTTCTGGCGATCTCGCTAAGTGGCACCGGTGAGTTGGAGTCTCCCATCGGAAGGACGACATGCAGCAGTCCCTGAATGATGCCCAATCTGCTGGGGAGGTATCTAAACCATACATGGCACCGTCACAGATCCAACGTTCCTCCGCAGAGACCAAGCCAGTTGAGGTCAAGAGTCGCGGAGGCTCCACCACCAAAAGCTGCCGTCGGGTCTGTGATCTGGGAGCCAATAGAAATGCCCCTCTCACGTCCGTTGATGCCAAGGACCAAGAAGCCCCTGCTGCCTTCCTCAGGACACACCTCAGAGCCGTAGAGTCAACACCACCTGCATAAAGATCTGCGGCAGCGGCCGGTCCACCACCTCCAGGCCTTTCGGATCCATCCCCATTCGGGTCCTTCCCATCCCCGAGGTTCTGCACTGCCGGTGATGCTGCTCCATGAGGTCGATGACAACCATGAACTCCACCATCAGGAAGTTGTGAAGGTTTCACATGCCCAGCAGGATGCACCATGTTGCCGCAGATGACGATTCTCGCCTTCCGCTTTCCCGAGGGTGATTTGATCGTCGGGACAATCTTCGCTGGTGCCACCTCCATCCGGTCGTAGCCAGGCTCATGCACCAACTGATCCACCTTCACCCGGCGAATCGTTCCAGAGCTCACCAAAGCCTCCATCTCGGCCTGCAGCGGCTCCTTCCACAAGTTGATGTCCTTCTTGACTTCGGCCAGCGACACTGTATAGGTTTGTAGCACCGCTCGAGCCTGCTCAGGTTTGTCCAGAGGCTCCAGATTCTCCACCATAGCATCCATACCCTGGGAGAGTGCTGCAATCCTGCAATTCGCGGTCTCCTGGTTCAAGGTCGAAGTGCTAACCAGTGCCAACTCCTCCTCCAGGCTCTTCACTTGGCCCTCCAAAAACTGCAGCCATTGGCCATGGATCAAACCGATCTCGGCCCCCACAGCTTCTCTAGAGAGTTCCTGTTCCCAAA